GAAGGACAGTAAAGATAAAAATAATCGTTCAGCTGTAGCACCCTTTCGGTGCCTAGCTGCCGTACCACCCGAAGGAAGCAAAATGGCTGGGATACTGCCAGGTCGCCCAAGCCTAGACAGGGGAAGTCGAATGGCAGAGGTCGGGCTCGAACCACGGACCTTCCGGTCAGTAAATTCGCGCTCTAACCACTTGAGCCACCTCGACGCAAGTGCATTGTGCAGAATAACTCACCACATATGTTCCAACCTCCGACCCGGAGGACCAGTAGACTGTGTTGGTCAGACGTCTTAACATTGACCAGCCTGGTATGAGAGACTGTGAGTGTGAGTGGCTATACCCCCCAGCATAGATTAATGGGTCGCTGCGGACCTTACCGTCACACTACGGTAAGGTCCACGTCTTTTAGTGACCGAGGGAAGCTGAATACAATGGTTTAAGCGTCTGAACTCCTTCTTTCGTCACTGCTGTGCTAAGAATAGTGCCGTTGCAGCAGAGGTTAGTTGACATCTTGGCTGTCCACACTTAAGGGGGGGCGAGCACGCAAATAAACTGGGTGATGTACCGTCGGACCCTGCCCCTGATCGTGATTCATTGTCAGTACCAATTCGAGGTATCCTTGGAGCCTATTTATCCTCCTCCAGGTTTAAGTTGCCGTGAGGTAAAAAAAAAGAACAAAATTAAATACTAGTTGCCAGCTCATCGCAACCGGTAGGAAGGGTAATTTTGGTAGATTCAACGGAACGAAACGATCACACTGTCACTCTCGTCAAAATCGGATGCTATGTACCACTTGCCTATAAGCCAGCCTACATTATTCTGAAGAGATAGTTATCAGAACGTCCAAAAAGCCACAGAGAGTACTTACTGGAAAGTCGAAGGATTGTGCACTCTAGAGATTAGGTTGAAAATGTGTGCCACTTTGACAACACGTTCCTTGCAGAACACCGGCGTGCACACCGCATTAACCTTCAAGGACGTTACTACGGCTGCTCAGAAGAAGAATGGAAGCTTGGCGGTGCTACCGCACACCGGAGACAGGAATTTCTACAGCGAATGCGTAGATTTAAGCAACAATTGTGAAAACTCTGATTTTGTCGAGATGAACTTATGGGGAGTGCTTGTGTAGCCCAGGAGAAGTGCTCCGATAAGAGTATACGCTCACATGAATTCAAGGAATAAAGGTAAAAGGTATCCATCTGAAGCCATCCAGTAAGATGGTTCAGTAGTCATTGATAGTCAGACCCTTGTAGAGTTATTTTCATAACACCTTCCGATACCACGGGAGGATAACCATCGCGGTCAAAGGGTTGATTGAAGAGGTCCTAATGACCGCTGGAAGTAGTAATATTTCCATACTTTTCATGTAAGGTTCTCATTCTGGAGTTTGGACACCAGCAGGGTACATGGACCGGGTGGTTAACGCCCAATGGTATTTTCGGAGCTAGTGCCAATACTGCTGAGTCCCATACCATACCTACTCAACTATTTAGCACGAACAAGGCGACTACCTGATGACTGGGGTGCAGGGGTTATACGACCATTCCCCAAGGGCAATAACTACAACCTATCGGACTAATACGGATCCACCAGCTTTACCTTCGTAGCCCTGAAGATACTGGAAAGAACTGTTTAGAGGGCACTAGGTAACTTCTTACAGTGAAAAAAATTGGTGCATACAGCTCATGGATTCACTTATGGACGTTCATGCGGTACCTAACATGTGCTGGCTCGTGAAGAATGACGCAGAGCCAGGAGTGGACGGTGGACGATCTATCCTGTGTCTGTGGACTTCAGTAAAGCATATTGTGCCGCTAAAAGATCCGTGAACTGGGGTAGGTGGACCAGGCTCCCTCACAAGCACAGTTTGCGAGAGCGTACCCCACAAGGTGCCTTCTTGAGTCCAGTGGTGTTCCTTCCTTACATCAGCCGTTTACTAGATCGGTTGAGCTCAAGCCGTCTGTTGTTTGGCCTAAAGGTCTGGAGGATCATCAACAGCTACGCTGACGAAGTAGAGTTACAAGTAGATCTGGATAGACCAGTTGAATCTTTCAGGGGGGGGAGTGCAAACCGCTTATTAACTTCAGTAAGCCTGGAATTTTTTTGGGGTGGGTGGCACAAGGGACCGAAGTACGTATCTTTGATTCCAGACCTATCCTAATTAACCCAAACTACACGCCGTTTGAGAGTGCTCACTTAGCATGACATTAGAACACTTCGACACGGTTTTTGCAGTGATCGAGGGTCCAAAGGTTCTGTGGATAGAGAAGCTTGAGTTTGTTAACAAGCTCACGTATCTTGACAACTGCATAAGCCGTGATTGTACTGTAGCAGATTAGGTTAATGCGCAGGTAATCATGGCGCGAGTAACATCCCCCAACTCGCATCATTTATGGTGTCAGAGCCGAATGACGCTGAAGCTAAAGCCTCACATGCCGACTGCCCAACGGTTGACCGTGACCGCCGGCGCATTATTCATTATGGTTGAAATACTCTTAAAACCAAAGAGCCCGGTGCTGCTCAAAAGGCACCTGCTGTACGCAGCCGCATCAGGAGTGGAACAGTAATACCCTACTCCTTGCGGCCTCGGGCTAGGCCGACCCCCTACAACTAAGTAGGTCAGACTACTGAGCCATTGGCTCCGGAAAGTATCCCCCAAGAAAGCCGTAACAATCGCTGTCTTTCGGTCCAGGCTTTTGAATCAGAGGCTAGGAAAAGGGCCCCTGAACATAACCCTACATCCACTGCCTTATGGGTCAGAATTTTGAGTCAAAGGCTCAAGGTGGAGTACCTAAAGCCTCCATGCCGACTGCCCAACGGTTGACCGTGACCGCCGGCGCATTATTCATTATGGTTGAAATACTCTTAAAACCAAAGAGCCCGGTGCTGCTCAAAAGGCACCTGCTGTACGCAGCCGCATCAGGAGTGGAACAGTAATACCCTACTCCTTGCGGCCTCGGGCTAGGCCGACCCCCTACAACTAAGTAGGTCAGACTACTGAGCCATTGGCTCCGGAAAGTATCCCCCAAGAAAGCCGTAACAATCGCTGTCTTTCGGTCCAGGCTTTTGAATCAGAGGCTAGGAAAAGGGCCCCTGAACATAACCCTACATCCACTGCCTTATGGGTCAGAATTTTGAGTCAAAGGCTCAAGGTGGAGTACCTCAACTAAACTTCTTTCTTCGGCCTGGGCAACCAGTATCATTTGCGCTCGCAGCTCTTCGCTTACCGGCCTTACCTCTCATTCTATCCCAACCCATCGTACAGTGCAATGCAACCAACCCATCTGCCAATTCCATAGCCACTGTTCCGTGTCTCAACCATTGCCCAGAAAAATGAACCAAAATAATCACCTACCAACCTCAAAAGATTTGATCCACGTTTTAGCCCTCAATGTCCGTAATGTATGTCAGATTATATAACAAGCAGCTCTTACTGAAACCTTACTTTCCCTCTCTATCGATATGTTGTATCTCCGAAACACGCATACAAGACTCCACTTCGGTCGTACTCCTCAAGCCGCGTAGGACGAGCCCAAATGTTCCACATTTCACTCTTCCAGTGTCCGGTGATGCTGACGCAATGGCTCGTGGTGTGAGAGTTGCACTCATCCCCAAGGCTGGAAACGTCTTACTGGACTGGATCCCAGTAAACAGTCGTGTTTGCGCTGTGTTTTCGGGATCTCGTCATCAGGTCAGTATACATATCTAATGGTTAAAATGAGAGCGAAAAGTGAAATGCACCGCGAAGATTGGTTAGTGAAATGCAAAACGTGGAGACACGAACGATTAGTTGTCTGCGCTCCCCCCATCTTGCATCTAGTTAGATGCTGTGAGACAGTGAATAGGGCTGTTGAGTGACTTGGCCGCTTGATTCGTGTCACACGACCAAGGCAGACTCAGCGTTCACTGTCTCAACATCCAACGAGGTGCGACATGGGAGGGGGGGGGAGCGCAGACAACCAATCGTTCGTATCTCCACGTTTTGCATTTCATTAACCAATCTTCGCAGCTTACTTCATTTCTCGTTCCTGTTTTAATCATTAGATATGTACTGACCTGATGACGAGATCCCGAAGACAATAATATTCGTCGCTGTGTTATTTTTCAAACCATGGGAATATTCAAGCAAATGGCAATACATCCCTTAATAACACCCATAGGATCGAAAGGTTGTTCTTCAGCACTCAGTGTATTTACGACGTTGATCAGGGGCTCTGCAGGTAGCATACAAAGTACCCTCTAACTTAGCTGAAGCGCACCCTTTATATCCGTAGCGCTTGCATGACGTCAAGTTATCCGTTAGTGGGAGAACCTGGTACAGAACAAGCGTTTGATCCCACCTTGAGATTCGGAAATTTGGGATTCCTAGTAAGCCCAAGGAGAGATAAGCTTCGATTGACGAATCGGTCAGTTCTCACAGACTAGCCTGCATACAGGAGCACAGCCTGCCTAAAGTTCGTCTTTTGCTATTGCACTGGACGCTACAACAAACGAACAGTGGAACATTCAACACAATAGTTTGCAACAATGCATGGAACCGCGGTATTTAACTCTGCCTATTTTTGTCTTTCTTCACTTCTCTCATGCGGAACCGCTGACCGCTCGGTGCTTAAAATCATATCACTCCTGTGAGAGACAAGCTTTCTGTGTTCTGTTGTTATTAACTTTCTTTCTGGTTGAAAAGCTTTTTAAGGATCTCATTTTCAACCATGTCTCAAGTGAACTGCCCAACCCAGCTTGAGCGTTGCAGAGGGCAAAGCATCTTGCTGCGCAAATCCTTGTTGTCTTGTTTTCGTGATCGTCTTTAGTGACGTCCCTCGGAGTAACACTGTTTCCTGTTTACAAGTTCTTCCCATATGTCCGTCGGTTTTCGTTACATCATTTGCCGTCCCTGTACTTTGCTTTAGCCCTCTCACTTTGTCATCATTCCTGACTATGGGCTCGGTTCGCTGATTCATCGCCGTCACTCGTTGAAATTAACCACACTGCCCTGGTGCAAATGATGGACTATATGAAAAATACTACAAGCTATCGTCCTCTTACCTCATCATCCGAGGTTCCAGACCTGTCATCTCTTACCGAGGACGTTGCTATCGCAGATATCACCAAGGCTGGTCCGGATATCTTTGCTGTAAGTCCACTGTGTCCTTGATTCACACCCTTCCCTCCAACTAGAAACAAATCACCCTGATTGAGCTCTCACTTTTCAAAGCAATCAAACGTGAAGTGAGTCATTCGTTTGTGTAATCGAAAACGTTTGTAAATAGGAATTTTCCAGCCTTAAATGGAACGGAAAAGAGAAGCATATTTACGCACCCAACATTGTCGCATCCACCCGTTGGTTTAACCAGGTACGAGCTTCTCATTCGTTTTTTACTTCTCTGTCAGATCAATTTTTGGGTTCAGAAGGAAATTCTGAAATACTCTTGCGTTTCCAAACGTACAGAATTGCTGGCGTTTTTCATCAAAATGGCCAAGGTTAGTTACAAGAACTGACTGTCATTTACTTATTATCTATGTGTTCCAATTCTTCTCGCTTCTACTGTGCAGGAGTGTATGAGAAACTTTCGTGTACAGATGAGAGCGGGCCATGATTCAAAAGAGCGGTAATGATAAGGGAGCGTTCGAGATAGTCGGTGGTTAAGGCGCGAACTTAGGAACCTGAATGTCCGTGGATTGAATCAAACATCGACATCTCGACCACTCTTGTCTTGACTTCGTAAGCCTGGCGGCATCTCAGTCCTTTCGCTTCCTCCGGGTTGCATGGCAGCTAGGCACCGAAAGACTGAACGATTATTTTTTAAAATATTACTTAGTTCGCAGGTGAAAGCGGAGATACGAAAAGGTCCATACGAAAGGCTAGTTTTTATTATTACCGTGTTTCTGGAAGATACTACCACGAGGACTGTTCCTCTTCTCCCCGCGGTATCAGGTACTTTAGTTCCCATGGCGATTCTGGTTGTTCAAATTACTAATTGAGAATGTTCTATTCTGCGGACATTGGGGTAGGGTTCTAGTTAATCACTCAGGTACAACTGCGGGTTTGCCCTCGTTTGCTGGCACCGCCATATGATGAGGAAGAACACTGCCTGATATCTGGACTAAGGACACGTGGGATAATGCGACTCTGTGGCTGACTCACACACACACACACACACACTCGTTCATGAACCAGACAACACAGACAATCGGCATCCACCGCACACACCAGGTTGAGACCAAGCTGTAGACAGCCGTCTGTCTGAATCGTCACAGAGATCGTTGAGACACACGGGCGCACCAGTTGTCCAAAATCTCGATACCCCCACACACACACACCCTCGTTCATGAACCAGACAACACAGACAATCGGCATCCACCGCACACACCAGGTTGAGACCAAGCTGTAGACAGCCGTCTGTCTGAATCGTCACAGAGATCGTTGAGACACACGGGCGCACCAGTTGTCCAAAATCTCGATATTTGGCTCACACAATTCCCTGTTTTGTTGCTTCAACCCCCTGCTTTTATCCTCTCATTCCGACAGAAACTCGTCGATTACAACAACTTGTATTCTGCCATGTCTATTGTGTCGGCGTTACAAGTCGAATGTATCTATCGCCTGAGACACACATGGGACGGTTTGCCCAACAAGGATCGTGCGGCCTACCGTAGACTGGAGGAACTATTCAGTCAGAATGACAATTGTCGACGTCAGCGGGAACATATGAATTCCATATCGCTACCGGGCATACCCTATCTCGGTAAACAGTTTGATTAATTGCAGTTCACCTTTTTGGTAGCTTTGGCTTATTCCTTTTGAATTCTCCCCTAGCCGGCCCGGGATGTTGGTCGAAATAGTTGTGTTTGTAGATACACCGTCAGTGTGTGCTGAAAGTTACCTAATCATCATGTCGAAACGCACACTAATGTGAGTTTGTGTGGTGGGGGTGTGTAGTTTTTCGCTTATTTATTCGGTGTAGATATGGTTTCTGCTTAATAATGCCATGAAGCTTTGTGGGTCGTCTTCCAGACACTCATGGGTGCGGGAGCCTGCCTGATTCCTAGTGTAAAACGCTAATTTCGTTTAAGTTGCCCTGGAGTCATTTTCAGGTCCACATCTCGTTTTCGGAAGTTTAATGGAAAACACAAACCTCGAAGCACCCCTCTTCTAGGTCTTTTGACCTGTATTCACAATGGCCAAATTTCTTTGAAACTTGTCGCTGAAATGGAAAACTTCAACACACCGTAGTCCTCGTGAGACGTGACCATCCTAGTAGTATGGCGTGACAATTTCTCAGCCCTCGTGCTCCCTTCGGGTGGCATGGTAGCTATGCACCGAAAGGACTTTATGGCTGGACGATTATTTAGTATTATTACTCGCAAGCAAGACAACGCGCTGCTCTAGTTCACACATTGGACTTGCTTGAAGTGGTTTTACGCTAGTTGTAAGAAAGGGGAAATCAGAATCAAGGCAAAACGGTTTAGCTAACTACCACCCACCACCCTCCTCTCGTCTAAGGCTTCACCTGTCACGGTCCAGAGGCCGCTGTGGCAGGCTGTGTAGGTGTTGGCAGCGGTCTGAGCTACCGGGCGAAAGGCTCCCTACTTGAATGACACCCGCTGATAGTCGCCTCTGTGCGGTTCGTCTGGCACAGTTCGTGAAAGAACCTCACAAACAAGAAGCTGGTCGTTGTCTGTTTGTCATCTCTGATTATACTCTAACCGACTATGGCTCTGGTGCTCTCAAAGACAACTTTTATGACGCCTTGAGTGTCCCGTTATGGTAGGTGGTTTCCGGATATTTGAATGCACAAACCTGCAGTCTTAGCGCATCGGATATTCATTTGGGTAATCGATTGGAATTGGTATCGGCATGTGCAGACAGCAACGAACAACTGCTTCAGCTATGTGCCCGCCGCAAACTGTTTCCTTGAGGGTTAACTTCCCACATAACCGAAATCCTCTGCCTGTATGCTACCATCCAGCAACTGCCAACCACAGACCCAAATTGACCACACTGTGATCAGTTACCGATGGCGTTGACCAGTGGTTGACTGACACTCTTTTTGGGGTCGCTTTCCTCATCTCCTTTCTGGGACCATCTAGAGGTATTTGAGAGTTTTGCAGCTTTTGGAGTCAAACGAATTTATCAGAATCGTCCTCTGGACTCTTCCCAACTGCCGCACCATTGGATGTCACTTCGCAATTAAACAAGGTCAGCGCAACCTTACATAATGCTAAAAGTTTCGCCTGCGATGCGGCATTACCCAACTCCACCCAGGCACTGCGTCCGTAAAACCGCCCGTTGAACAGACTTTGGGTGTTCGTTTTACGTTGTAAAACGAACCGCAGACAATGCTGTGGCCTATACGCGCATGGGGTATGTGACAACTCCAGTGCCCCTAAAACGTTGATCGTGCCTGATGGGAAGATAGGATTTGCAATGCTGAGGTACGCTATGTGGTTTTCAAAAGAAGAAACTCTCATGATGCATGAGCTACTCACGCTTCATAGGCTACGTTGCCATAAGACAGTTTACATCACAGCACTCTTTTCCCCCACTGCTGCCAAAATGCACTTGGTACATTGTTTGTAGCTGACTGCGCTGAGCTAAACCTCTTGGTCTAGCTGATTTGACAAATTCACCAGTGAACTACCCATACGTTGTTGGTAGTTCCTAGTGGAACGCACGTCCCGTGAACTGATAGCACGTGACTCATGGCCGGACGTAGTTTGGCCAAACCGACGTTTCCGACGAATATCCTATCCCCACTTGGTCTCACTGTTCAACCATCTACACTGTTAAAGTACTTATCCTGGTCGGTTCGTCATTCGGTCGTGGTACCAGACGATGAGAGGAGACTGATGGTATGCAGTCGACTGATACCGCCAGGCAAATGCACACATCAATCACATGTGCGTTTTGAGAACTTGCAGGATTGCAACGTAGTTGTTCTTTAGCATGTCTCCCAGGTTGTTTCCACTTGTTTTACCGGTGAGAATATCTGGAAGGTCACATGATTACAGCATGTGTTGTGAAGTGAATTGGGCATTCTTACTGATGAAATGACTAAAGTTGTCTGTCATGGGGTGGCCTTGTTTCGGTTAACTTCTTGAACCCCTCGGACCTTGAGTTTGGTCAAGACCCCTTAAGGGAAGCCCGAGATGTACAAATAACTTTCCATTTGTTACTGAAGGTTTTTCGTCCGAAACACTTGCTTTATGCTTCTGTTCGGGTCCATTTGTTCGATATTCATTCACAGACCTCTAGATGTCTCAGCGATTAAAGCGCGAATTTACAGGCCGGAAGTTCCGTAGCTCAAACATGACCCCCGCATCCCCTATTCAGGCTTGGGCAACCTGGCAGTATCCCGACACTCGTGCTTCTTTCGGGTATCATGACGGCTAGGCCCAGAAAGGATGTTATATCTGAATTATTGTTATTATTATTATTATTATTACTTACGAGTGCTCTGTAGGAATAGAAGGGGAACAAGTCTCGAGGTCGGCAGCATCCGGTGCCGCGTTCTTTCCTATACGGTACAAGCTTTCTCGCTGCAGGATTTCTCACGTTACCTCCCCCCGGTGTAAATTCAGAGTTCACGAAACTAACAACGAATAGTGCATATGTCATTATTTTAAGACCCATAAAATTCATCCCTAAATTCCTACCTGTGTGGGTTATGTCGACGGTTCTGTGTTGGTGTATGCACAAATGGATTAGAGGTTCTTATACTTCTATGTGGGGGAATATCTGCTCCCACATATAACTTCACTTGATTCCTCCTGGAGCTCATCTCGAAGTAACGACCAAAGGCCATATTTTCTGCCAACTGCGCAGGGATGGCTTGTTTTAGACACATCCGATAGAAGACTACTGACGAAAGCAGTCCACTGCCCGGAAAATTTTCTTAACTGTCTTAGAGAAGGTTCAATAAAGGGTGTACAACTCAGTGTAGCGTCGCCGGAATTTCGGAGGTGACAGTTTTGTGTGTGCCTTCTCTGTGTTTTGTGAATCGAAAGTGGCCACCTCTGAGATAAGACCTCAGTTGGTGGGTTCCAGATTTGGATGGGTATGAAGCAGATGTTGAAAAGTCTTTGAGGTTATCCACGGATTAACAAGGCCGTTGATCCATACCGGGCTGCCATCTGTCTGTGGATTTGATCGCCGCACATTTGTGCTCTCCCGTTGGAGTTTCGCGGTGGTATGTTTGCCTCTCCCCAAGTAACGTACTAGCGGGACTGAGGAAGATCGCCTGCCTCTCTGAGGTCTTCATTCTTCGGAGGCAAAAGAGTGCGCTCGTTGGAGGTGCCAACATCTAAAATCATGGAGCATATCTTCCAAAGAATATTTTGCGGTGACTTATTTGCTAACTTTAATAGGTGAAACGGACATATGGTCTTTTTTGTGTCATTGCACCTCAGGTCGTCGCTAGAACACTGTTGTGCACTCTCCAATCTAATGACTTCTCTTTGTAGAGATCTCCTGGTGGCAGTGCATTTGTTAGTGAGTAACAGTGGACATCATACACTACATAGTGTCCGGTGTGATTAGATGCATTCATGTCCGCAGTTAAGTGCTTGCGATTACGATCCGTTTTGATCGATTCCTTCAAAGTCCGGCCATCAAACATCGAACCTGAGGCGTGGTGATTTGCCGCACCGTTTTCACAGAGATGTACTCAGCTGCACTGGAGGCTGATGCCAGTGTTGGCGTGCGCTTTGGTAGTGCGTCTTTAATAATAATGACAATAACAATAATCGATCAACTGTAACATGCTTTCGGTGTCCAGGTACCGTGCTACTCGAAGGAATCGCGAGGACAGATACAACCAAGTTGCCGGAGCCTAGATAAGGGCGGTTGAGTTGCTGAGTTTAGGTTCGAATCACGTATCTTCTCGTCCTAACCATGGAGCTATATCAGGCGTGCGTTTTTACTTTCCGATCTATTCAAAGTGACAAATCTGTGGAGACAAACCTGAACAAAATCCGGATAACATCAGTGACAAGACTACCTCTTTGGAATTAGTACCCTGGGTCAGAAACGTTTGTTGTGCTGTCCATCTCACACAGCGGATAGTAAAGTGGTTCTTAAAGTGAATGCAGTTTCCTCATTTACGAACTTCTTTATGACGTCTTGTCTCCCATTCCCAAATGTTTGTTGTGAACTGTCCTCGGCGGACTAGTCCGGACTAACAGGCCTCTCGTATGGTTGCTGCACTCTTGTGTCCATCCTTTGATTGGCATCGCAGTTTTCTTTTCTGGACACCTCGCTAATCTTTTTGTAGAAAGGTTTCTAGGCCATACTTTCGTCGCTTTTTAGCCATGCTTTTGCTGCAACCCGTGTGTGTGTGTCTGCCGGTTGCTACATGTCAGTTGTTAGGGTCGCTGTGTCTAAACGTCAGCCCTCGGCCCCTCGTTAGACGTGCACAGTTAGTTTCGTTTTGTCAGAACAGTTGAATTGCCAAAATAGATTTGTTTGTTCGAGGGACTTTTTGTGCGTGTGTTTCGCGTGCAACCCTATGCTTCCGAGTGCCCGGGCTGAAAATAATGTCAAACTACTCGTTCAACTCGCTCGGACATCTGCTTCCGATCTAGATGGCCTTTACGAAACTGGTTTGAAAAACTCAAACACATGGAGGCGCCCTTAGCCGGAAAAATATTCATTACGAGCAACTTCAGAATTTGGAAACCGTAGGCACATGCTACTGTGTGGTTCGTGATCTCTTTGAAATGTCCTACCACACCAGTCGTTTTACTTCAGCTTTAAGAGGCCTCAAGAGGCTCAAGAGGCCTCCTTCGGGGGAGTCTGTTTTCAAAGGCTCCTTCACTAAGTCATGACTGATGAGAAAAACTCTTATGGGCATTCCAACAGGCTTCTCGACTTCCACACCAGTCATTCTGTCATCGGCTGACAGCAATATAATCAGTGATTTTTTTTAAAATTTCCTCGTGGAGGATTGTGGGAACAGCACTGTCAATGTCATCTGCTATCAATCATGGAACGGGCTTATTGCGTTCTGCTCGTAAAACTATTCATTGGACTCACACGAGCTATTTTCCGGATCACCGATGCCGATGACAACTTCGGAAACCAATTGTGGTACTATGTTTTCCACAACTTACCTATTCCAACGTTTGAAACCTCTACCAGCTTTTTCCATTTCAAGCACTAGTTGGACGTTGTGTTTGGGTATAGCTTAGTGGTTAGGCCGCGAAGCCGCTGATTGGAAAGTCTATGTTCCGAACGCTTTTCTGCCTAGGCTTTGAAAATATCCCTCTTCTTTCGGTTGTGTGGCAGCTGTGCACGGAAAAGGTATCGCAGTTGAAAGGATACTATTCTCAGTAGTTGTATCATCCATATTAGTATTCTTGGAGGAAATACGGAGGCGTTGGATGCCTGTGGAATGTCTCTGATGTGTCAGCTTATTAAACAGCTAACCATGCCAAAGCTGTCTATAATCAGGTGCAGAACGCGTTCGTCGGCAGTTTCCAGCACTTTCCACATATTCGAATACAAACGATACACATGCTAAATCTGGGTTGGTTGAAACACTTGTTTTTTCACATTGGCCTGGTGTTGAGGCAGGACATAATTACAATTGCTTAGTGAACTTTTCAATCGATTAGCACTGATAGCCCCTCAATAATACTTATGTATTTGTATTACATACGCTCAGCTTTAGCACTCTTCCGGTGCCTAGCTGCCATGACACCCGAAGGAAGCACGAGGGCTGGGATACTGCCAGGTCGCCCAAGCCTAGACAGGGGAATTAGAGAAGCCAGAGGTCGGGTTCGAACCACGAACCTTCTGGTCAGTAAATTCGCGCTCTAACCGCTTGGACCATCTCGCCCCATATATGTACGTATGTATTACATACATCTATTACCATATGAAATGTCCATCAAAATCGTTTACATGAACATAATAAAACAGTGCTCCTGTTCAGTCAGGCGCTTTATGGGACACTGTAGCAGGTCATGGCCTGATCGAGCAGTGAGTTTGCAGGACGGAGTGCACAAGAAATCAAACAGTTCGTTGACGTCTCGAGGCATATGTAGTGAGTTCAATGAAGTATAGTGGTTCGATGTGTGTCTGCTCCACCGGTTCACCGGCTAGACAACGGTTCACAACCGCACTACCATCAGTGGCGAGTTTCTAATCCTGACTGATGACACCCAGCTAGTGCCTGAAGGGTGGAAAATTCAAAGCTTTCATAATTCGGCAAGATTTTTCGACAATATTCTGCCATCACAGCGTGTTAGCTATTCTGCTTTCGTCTCAAAGCCAGCCCGCCACAGACATTTGTTCAACACAGCTCTTTTGTTTGGCGACCTACTTCCTTGGGAAGATAGGATGCGGAGGGTGTCATTGCTGACCTCAGCCTTGCTAACCTGGCGGCCCAAATTCGTTAGACAGTTTGGTTCGTGTATTTAGAAACGTTCGATGGGGACACCGTGACCGAGTGCTCTTTAGGCCAGACGTACTGTGTATAATCCAGTAACTCTCGACGCATGAGAATGGTGGCAACGCAGTTCGTGTTTACACTTGGTTTCTCCAATGCCGCGGCCATATTCGGCGTGTCTCTGTGGCGAATTCCTGCTCAGTCGTGTCACCTGAAAGTTTCCACTCGGTCCCCTCAAACGTAGGTGTGCAACATCCGATTAGGAAATACCCAAAACATTTTCAGGGTCGTCAGAACCCACTTTTTTCTGATGTTAGCCTTTTCCTTCAATCTGGTACGATGCAGCATCGAATTTCTTTTTTTTGCACTCCGCTTTCTCCTTTTTACAAGGTCTCTATCTTTCTGATCTCACGTACACCAATGTGGCGCATCCTCGAGTTGGCGGAAAGCCAACGGCCATTTGGACATCCAAGATCAACACCATCATTGATATCATTGCTTATTTTCAACAGTCGGAATATCGTAAGTTGCCAAATCAGTCCAGTTGAAATATGTCTCACGCACACTCCCTTTCACTACCCAAATTCATTCCGTTCTGTTTGGCTACTAATCATTAAATGCTCATTAATTACAATTATTTCGGTTTTATACACCAGTACAATCAAATGAGCAACACCGCATTGGATTTCATGCTCCACCCTTTTCGTTTTGAATATGGTATTCGAGCCCGTGATCCGCGCTGGTTCAAACTCCGGTCCACACGCCGGGATGACCAAAAGAAAGCAGCTGAAACACTATTTGTCCCAGATTGTGACAAGGCTGAGTTACTTTTCCTATTGATACCCACCTCATGCTTGTGTATGTGGGTAGCACGATCGGCTGTTAAGCGTTCTATGATCGTTTTCTCTCGAGAATTCGCAAAAATCGACCCTAAAGCCGTACACTTTGCCTCTTCACCGTTTGTCCCTTGTAACTGTTGTACGATCCGAGTACAGCACAGCTTTATCTTAGGTTCGATCTGATCCAAAACACGTCTGTTGCACGCCTCACTACTGAACACTGGATAGGCAACAACAGTCTTGCGCGTCAAACTTGAAAGCTCATGTCAAACTATCTGGACTAACTCACTTTTTCGACCCTAGCAATCTGGACTCACCTGTTCTAACCGTTTCCTAATACTTTCTCAGCGCACTGAAGATGTCTCCTCGAATAGTGACGAAACATTTGGAAATCAATTGCCAAGCTCGGCGTATAGATAGGCAGTCACCTGATCAATTAGCGAATATCCGAACTTTTTTTTTCCACCAATCGGTAGTACTCTGTGTAGAGCGACCCCGTCTTTCGTATCCATTAACAGAACCTGTCGAATAGGTCCCTAGTGCAGGATATTGTGTTCCGGTGTTTGTTGGTGATCAAAATGTATCCGGACACAACATATGCCTCCTTCATTTAGTTTTGTGGGTGTAGCGGCTTCGATGGTGACGTTTGTACGAATCCATCCTACCGGAAAGTCGCGCATTAATTCTTTTGGGATTATAACTGGAATTCGATAAGACCGACGAACTACCGTAATTTGATTTAATTTATTAGTCAGGACTAATTTCCCGTTTCGAATCAGCTAATCCATGTGATTAGTCAGTTCATTCAACCTCATGGTTAGGCTCCGTATCCACATTTATTAGCGTTTTAGATTGTTGATTGAGTAAATGGTTCATGAAGACAGTCGAACATTGGAAACTCGTTCAAGCTGTGTACAGACGAAAGACCTGATCCAAAGTTTCGTACTGCGAACTTACCCCTCTAAGTTGCTGTAGGGATGAAAGGTCTGATAGAATCTGAACCCCTTCGCCTTCGGCGGTTTGGATATCAGCTACGTGCTGAAAGGCTACCGCCACTGGATTAAGACTACTGGTGAGGTGCATTGAGTGTCTGTTGGCATTCATGTTTAGAATGCGGTAAGAAGTTTGTCACATGGAATGAAACCCGTCATGCTCCCTTAAACTGCTTACGCTGGCTACTATGGGCGTCACTTGGTTTCGTAAATCTTTTTACATCGTCCCCATGCCAGTGGCAACCAGGACTGTCCGCGTAGGGCGTACGTCAGTGAACTTGGAACTCACAGGTTCGGTTCGCCTCTGCAGTTGTTGTTTGAAATTTTCAGCTGCCACGCCATGCGGCGAGTGCATTCAACTTATGCCGAAACGCCTGGATAGTAGTTTGGTGTGTTCCTTGTGCGAAAACTGAGGGCCTGGTTTTGGCTATCATTTGGTGGCTCACCCTACAATGTAGCTCATATCAGATGATCTGGTGTTCGCTAGCTCGGAGCAAGAGGTTCGTGTGGCCTATGAGGCGTCTCTGTTTCTCAGCATTCTTCAGGGGGGTGTCTAGATGCATATTTAAATCCTTTATTTGGCCCACAACGTGTAATTCAGCTTCTGTTCATCAAACCCTTTTACCTGTTTTCTCTGTATCCCGTTCAGCCGATTTTGTTGCACACTGAACCGAAATGTTATTGAACTGGACCTGCTTGCTTTTTTTTCACCAATGAGCCGAAATCAGGTAGCGTTTGCACCCCATGTCGCCCTACCCGACCTCACGCTGTGCCAGTTGATAGCTGATACGGTAAACACACGCACCGGGCTAGGGATAATCGTCTTTTATTGTTGGACGTTTTGAAAAGACCACAGTTCTTTTAACTGGCCAATGGGTCAAGGGGATCACGGGAAGAATGTCTGATAGACACACAACAACATGTGGCGTCTAATGTTGCACAGCAATCTAGTTTCGACATGTAAACGAGGACTCCACATGACATTTGTTTGTCATTTTGTCCTGGTTGTTAGCCGTGAACAGAAAAGACGTATGCTCTCCTCCTTGCTTTATTTGTTCATCTCTCCATTTTGTGCTGGTCTTGATATTTAACTCTGTTCCAACTAACCTACTTGTATGTGGTAGCGTCAGTGGTACCTCGGTGTGTCCTTTCCTCTGTTTGCGGACAAAACCAACAGTTATTGAAAAGGCCGATAACTTTACTTCCTTATTCGAGACGTAAAAGTGAATGCCTGCGAAGCCGTTTCATCTCAGCAACTGAACTGTACCGATAAACAAAAGATGTAAGGCCAGTAGCTCCAAGTTCTTTGTTTGGTCGTGGCCCTCGATAGTTTTTCGATTCATTACCCACAGCTGCACCAACTTGATGCAGAGGTTCATCTGGTAGTAGCAAATATCTGTCCCTGTTTATTGGAACTAATAGATGTGAGATGTTAACGTTTGCCTTAACGTTTGAAGAAAATCCTGAGTGCTTCACGGTGGTTCATAGTAGAGTCGGGATTCAACCGACCCCGGTTCATTCAATCAGCAAGGACGATGTTTATTTACTCCCTCAGTTCAAAGGTAATCACGTGAACGCCGACCGACTTACATCTGATACCTGCAGCCCTAGGATTCGCTCTGCTCTAACTTATCTGCCTCTCGTTTAATCTGTGAGTTCTGCAGCTGTTCGGCCACTCGCACTTGCGGGACGGACAGACAGTGGAACGCGGCGTAGAACACATTCTGGAATGTGTCTGTAATCTGAATGTTATCAGGACAGTCGTTAGGTCAGAGGTCACTTTGCAATCGTGCATCGCCAATAGCCGGGTGAAGTCCTTCTAAATCCTGTTACATAAGCCAAACTCCAAGGTTTTATCGATAAGCGGGACACTGCTGATCAAAGCAAATCAGCTCCGGCTGTGCACAATAGCAGCTGAAGCAGGCCAGCGCCGATCAGGTGACTTGCATGAATCAAACAATCGGTATCTGTTCAACACTGTCTGCTTCTACTCTACTTTATATAACTGCCGAAGAATTTTCAGCAACCTTATGAGTAGTGCGTTACGATTATATGACTCATCTTTCACGTCCGCAACTAAAGAGAGTTCGGGTAATATTACCACATGACCTCTTGTGTCCTATCAGTCCTAATTTGTGGCTAAAGGGGACAATGCCTCAAACTTATCCTCTGATTGATTAAAGCCAACGTTGTATACAATCCGGACGTTGTGTACACAGAACTGATTCTACGTAAGTCCACGGCGATCCTTCGTAGCCACTGGTGGTTGGAAATGCAAGAAAACACGATCACTAGTTGACAACCAAGTGCGATCGAACGTAACCTTGATATTCAGAGGTGGGTGCTAGTTGGACACTTCGAATGAATGACATTGCAGTGTGGAAGATCGAAGCATAAAGCATAGCATTCTGGAAAGCGGTGATTAGCTGTTGAGTTCAACGGGCAGCCGCTTTGGGTTAGGGAGCCGGAGCATACAAGGTGAAAGGGAATGTGTTGAAATATTGGTAGCTCGGGTGAGTTTATTGGTTATTGATCGGGTAGGTGGCTGTTGATCTGTTCGCCGAACTTGGCAATTGCTTGCAAACGTTTCATCACCATACGAGGAGATGTCATCAGTGCGCAGTTGGGTGTCAAGCTCGGCGAACAGATCAACAGCCACCTGATCAACAACCAATAAGGTGAAAAGGAATTCCAGGTGTTAGACTAGACATTAGACTAAACTGGAACTGATACGACCGTGATTATCGGTCGGTTTTGGATGACGTACAGCCCTAGATGCGTCGAATGTCGGACAGCTACGATCGCCGCATAAACTATTCCCTGGTTCGTCGATCGCTGGTCGTCGGTTGTTCATACTGACGTTTTTCCTGACTGACCCTACTTGTGTTCTGTCTAAAATCAATCGTAGATGTAAACCCACGAGTTAAACTTCCACTGTCACGTTGACGCTGACCGTTTCACATACGAAACCCACCTCTCCATCACTCGCCCTACATGATTCATACATTACACACTGTGCTACCCAACCTACACAGCTCGTGTACTCTCTGTGCAGGTGTGTTCTTCCAATCCGACAGATTTTGGTTGTATCACAGTGGCCTTCAGTTAATAAGCTGTGCGCGTGACCGAAACGGGAAGGGTGGTCGTTGACGTGCACCCTTCTACACAAGCATAATTGCATCTGAAACAACACAATCCACGTGTTTGGTGGGTAGTTTCCATGTTTGTGTATTATTTCATCCTAAAGTCGGTCAGTATGCGGCTAAAGCATTCGCAGATGCAACCAGCATGCGCGTTTGGCGTTTCACTGTCACGTGTTACCTCCTTAGACCACGTGACTAGCTTATGTAGTGTTCTAATCTGTCCTTGGCATCGTTTTTCGTTTATCACTCAACGACGCAGTGTCTATGGGTCCACTCACGCTATGGCTTTGGGAATGGGATGACGAACGGAACACAGGATAGCTCGGCTAATCAAGGGGAGGGCGTAGTAATTGCTTTTAACAACCTACTTTTATAATCAAGTTAGTCACGTGATTAGTGCAAATGTTCTTTGTCGCTCACTGACTCCTCCCTGTGACTTTATTTATTTCCATTGTGAGCTCTAGTCCTCCCCTCCCCCCACCGGCGAAACCTATGCCACTCAAATGTTCTTTTACCCGTCACATTCATTTTCTCCGCAGCGTTTAACGTAGACGGGACCATAAACGCCTATCTTTGTGCTCAACGATACATCGAAGAACTACAAAAGTTCCTTGAGGAGGATAACTATCGCACTTCACTTCGTTTAGAGCCGCAACCAGAACCAGTAATTCATACCTGCTCTGTCTATGTTCCCACGGTTGAAGATGGTCGTACAATGACTGGATTTTTGAAATGCCCCAGTGAAACTACTCCAACCCGTGGAGTGCGTCCAAGCGAGATGATTCCTCGAGGACATCAGAATCAAACCCTCCGATCCTCAAAATCCGCCTCGGTAAACTCGAGCTTTGAATCAGATATGATTCCTGTGGCTCAAACACTTTGGACCGATTGTAAAAGAGCTAACAAGTCGGTGACGGCGCTTGCCAGCCCCACTCCACCCGCACCGTTTGACACTTCAGCCGCCAACCTATGTACCCCCATCGTCCGGACCAAGAAGAAATCTGTCGTCTTGGACACCAACAACAGCGTTTTAACCATGCCGAAACCCTCAAAGGTGCTATTCTCCGACGATGGACCACCACAGAAGCTGCACGCGCTCCAACATAACACTCTACTGCAGGGAGACCTCAAGGACAATCTCACCACTAATTTCCCACTATCTACAGACATTGATGCTGAGGTAAATCTACGTACTTATGTGTCCACTCTGCTCGTTTTCTCATCCATACATGGCTCTAATGAATTTAAGAAAGTGCTTTTGTCCACAAGATTAGGGTTGCGGAAAAGTATCCAGCTCTCTGACGAGTTTATTCTCTTTGCTACTGTCTTTTGTGTGAGCTTTATACCAAAAGTTGGTGTATGGGTAAGAGAGAGAGATCGATTGTCCAGCTGTACCATCCTTTCGGCGCCTAACTGCTATGCCACCCGAGGGAAGCATGAGGGCTGAGATACTGACAGGTTGCCCGAGCCTAGACAGGAGAAGTTGAGAGGCAGAGGTCGGACCTTCCGGTCAGTAAATTTGCCCTCTGACCACTGAGCCATCTCGCCCGCTGGTGTACGGGTTACTTGCCTACGTTCCATCACACAGGTGTAGGAGATTTCAGTTAATTTTTTCTTCGCTCCAAACAAGAATTTGATATTTCGTCCGAAGCATAGAGGATCGGGTCTGGGACTGCTAACAAAACAGTCGTTTGTAAAGTAAATTGCCACTGAATGTAGTTCTCGATTTGCAAACAAGTTGACGTTCAAGTAGAACATAAGGTTGATTGAATCCCGATGACTGTGCCTAGGGTCGTGACCTGTCGAAGAGCATTGTGCTCTGTCAGGCAGATATACGACGATATATCGCATATCGTGCCAACTAAAACATGAGGTGGCCTTTATGCAACCCATGCAGTTGAAGAGTATTGTAAACTAGAGATATAACTAGGTTTCAGTGGCGTTCCCCTTTAAAAACAAATTAGCATTTAACTGAATGTACTTTGCGAATTTCACACAGTTGGATTTTTAGTTAGAACCTCGGGGATGAGACCAAGAGGGGCGAAACCGTTCATAAGCTGTAGCATAGTCTTCCTCAACGCTGTGTGTATTCCTTCGAGAAAATAGTCCCAGTTTACTTTGTTTCTTATTCGTTTGCCACACCTGATTGTGCCCCTCGTAGTTATTCGTGCACCATGGTGATTAGTTCGTCAGCAGATTGTCGGAAATTCTCACAAATAAAAAATGCTTCGAAATGGTGTACAAATTATCGACGAGCACAATATCGTTGCCCACTTTTTTCACCTCTCTTGTATTTGGAGGAATTATGAAGGTCTTCAAAACCCCAGTAATCAAGTAGACTGTGACGAAAGCCTTGTCGATCTGGAATTTGCAGATGGCATCGTTCTCGTTTCCGAATAAAAGAAGGCACATGTGGTTTTTGTATGGGCTTGTATGCATTGTGCTAATTTGAGACGCGTACGGCGTCAAAGTGGTGTATCCCTGAATATCAAGGGATGTGTGTATCAAGCTACAGTGCGGGTTGTTTCATGACTGAGACTTGGCCTGTTCGAACAGCGAAACTGAGACTTCTTCAGGTCTTCAACAACCGTTGTCTCAGAACCATAGCCCGTGTGGGCTGGTGACGGCGAACCCCCTTAACGAGGCAATTAAAAAGCGATTGTTCGGTTGTGCAACGGGGACTTTCATCGAAGAATGCATCCAACACCAGAAGCTGCGTTGGTTAGGTCATGTATTACGCACGCCAAATCATCGTTTGCCGAAGAGAATGCTGTTTTGCGTGCCCAATTCAGAGTGGCGGAAGCAGAGAGGTGGCCAGCCCTTGACCTGGCAGGAGAGACTACGAAAAGTTTGGGTGTTGTCGGTACAACTCTCTTACCAGAATGGGGGCCGCATGGTTGGAGACGCTTCATGATATGGCTTTTAATCGATGTCAAGGGAGTTCTTGTTATCTGTTTCTATCCAGATTGCCCGACTGAGTGTTTTGAGATGTATACAACTCGAAATGATTGTAGTAAGCGAGCACTAAATCCCTTCCCTGTTCACCCTTATTCTTTCCTTCATAAGAAGGCTTTCAAATAAATCGTGGTTGTACGGCAGTGAAGCATCGGTGTTGAGCACTGATATCATGCTGTCCATGATGATGATGATGGTAATGATGGGGAATCATGACACACTTCTGGAGCCCACGACTTTTGCTCATAGCTTTACTGTTAAACTCCTCTTGGGTTGCCACCGTGTCTAAACCATTGATCTTGGTTGTTGCGATTTCAGTCCCCCACTCGCTCTCATCATCGCCCGACCCATTACCATCAACCGGAAACCCCATCCACCGAGAACCTCACCAAATCCCCGGAGCACTTGCCTCCGATACCACCAAGACCGCCCCATCAGTCTTGCGATTCCATCCACCACCACCGCCACAAAGCTCGAACACAACGTCCTTCTTTGTCCTCGTCATTTACGGTGGACGCTCCTGATGAATCTGTTCCTTGTCCGGAGAGATTGCCAAACGCACTTGACGAAGTTCGTTTGGAGAGGTCCACAGATGTCTTAGATCTCAAGTGTCGCAAGATATCCGAGTCCGTCCTATCCTCTCTTACGCAGAGTTCTACAAGCCAAAGGTATGTTGCACTTTATGTTTTATCTTGTCAAAGGCCTTTCTCAGCTATCTTACAAGAGAAGGTACCACCGGCTGAATGAAAAACGTAGTCTCATGGTGATATCTACCCCTTCTGAGTGCACATTTCAATTGTCGTGAAGGAGGAAACAAACCGAACCGTTTTCTGCTCCTTATTGAGGGTGGAGATGCGTTTTTGGGAGAACCTCTCATACCCAGAGAAATATGTAACTTATCCAGACAGCCACTATTTCTACTTTCACTTTAAGACAGCTGTGTTTTATGACAGTATTAATCAGCTCCAGAGCTGTCCGTATAACTGCTGTCCGGTGGCGGCGATCGATGGTTAAGCCTGCTGGTTCCACTGACGAATTCTGGAGAATACTGGAGGGTCAAGTGGTTCCTTGTCGCCTTCGACAGTACTGATTCATGTCTTTTGTCGTCTTTCAGCACGACAACGCTATCCTTGGAAGTCCTGTTTAATATTTTCCGGATCAGTATGGACGTCATCATCGAAATAGCTGAACTGGGCTCACTGGATCATGACAGTTCCTCTGAATCTGTCACTGAACACCTTTACTAGAGATGCACTAGTGGGAACCCTCTCCCTCCCGTATGTCTTCCCGACGACCGCTTTTCGCGCGCATAAATTATGGGTGACCGAGAAGCTCCTTCTGATACCCAATTTTTTTAGCGAAGATTATCAGTCCCTGGTCGTGAAACGCTTTTCGACTGCCACACCGAACCGTCGCAGTATTCTAATTTGGAATCCCTTCATCGACCCTCAGGGTGGAATGATGGAGCTTTTTGCTGACAAGTTTATAAATGTGGAGGGAAACTGATGATTCCCAGTGTCGATTCTTAGTCATACGATGACGTGGTACTTGCCAAAGTCCTTCCAAACTGTTAGCTTTCTCCCAGTCTGCAGTTGATATTCTGGAACTTAATTGAAAACCGATGCTAGTCCAATCGATTTCAGAATGTAACAGCAGCGACAACCACTTTGTTATCGTAATTCTGAATATATTAAGGATATCGGAGTTCGTTTGGCGACTACTCGTAAGGTCGCTGAACAGTTTCGAACAAGGATTGATAGAGAGTAAAACCGGCAGGTGGACAGTTCAGAGTTTTCAGGATTATTCGGATCAGACGCACTCGAAGTTTTCCCCCCTTACCAAACTACTCCGTGTTTTTCGGTGCGTAATCCGATACTTACTTGTGTGCTTCATGGACCAATGACTCTCAGTTCTCGTAACACGTTTAGTTCTTTGGAATAAGGTGTGCGGTTGTTGTCTTTTATGGTAATGTGTACAAGAGGAAATCTGTAGGGCTTCGCTAATTGATGTTTTGGTATTTGAATCCTACAGGTTGAAACTGCGGTCAGTTCAGAGTCGCCTCAATTATCAAGGTCATACGGTTTGAAACAACTGTGCACAACGTCGTAAAATGGGGGGGGGGGTAAGGTACATGCAGCACGCCCCTGGATGTGCTTTACACAGCATAATCAAGATTGCCATCACGAACGCTAGCCACTGCCCAGGATTAGGGGGTTGTTAAACTTACAGTTCCCTCCCTCACACGTTCCCATTATATTACTCGTCGTTTCTGAACGTACAATCTTCCAACGACGTTGAATTTCGCTTATTCGATAGAAGGTTCCCGTTGTGGGAGGGCTATCCCTCCTCAGTCCTGCAGCAACAAGTTTTCGCACGCTTTTGTACAAATCCCACCAACATCTACAAAGACCGTGACCACCGCACAATCACTGATTGGTTTTCCGTTTTCTATACTCAGCAATCACATTCGCAACGGACTCGTGCGAACTAACGCCTTGTACTCGTACAAGGGCGATCAACACACCGCAGAAACTCACTGGGCACTGGGTGCCACCCCAGGGCACCTAGGGCGAACCATTTGGGTTGTGTCTAAATGGCCGACTGTCAAAGGAAAACATGGCGAACGCTCTATGTGTTTTCATGCAAGCAAGCACACGACATTGCAGACTGCGTCCAAAGTGAAACGTTTTACCGGTTGAGGCCACTTTTATGAAGTTACCCGTCTACCAAAGCACTCCTTACACAACGATACATCAATTTCTGTGATAATTTTGGTGCGTTCAACATGTATTCGTGCAGTTATAGCACCGATCCCAGGCATGACCAGGGATATGTACTACTGATGAATTCCATTAGGGATGAAATTCCAGCCCGAGTGCTTCCTTCTTTAGTTCGAATGCTAAGACTGGAGGAAGACTGTAAACGACAGTGGCCTGAAAGTTCCGTCTAGTATCTGCTTGACTCCATAAAGTAACAGTCTAGATCCCCTAGGCTGGCTTCAATACGATCGGCAATTTGCCACTGATTTATTTCGCGGGGTAACGGGACTTTGAAGTGACCTGCATGTTCAATTGTCCACTCGTTTCACTGGCTTTGTTGAGTTCACAATAATGATAATCGTTAATATATAATATCCTTCCGGGACCGAGCTGCCACGCCACCCGAAGAGAGCACGCGGACTGAGCTACTGTCAGGCTCCGCAATCCTAGACAGGAACGGCCCAAATGCGGAAGTTGGGTTCGAACCAGGACCTTCTCGTCAGTAAGTTCGCACCCTAATCACCGATCTATCTTGGGTCGTAGATACCTACGCATATGAATGGAATGTGGATGAGAACATCAGTAGCCGCTAGGTTTGTTGAGTGCGGCCAGTTTATTCGTTACTCTGTTGACCATGTGTTAATGGGCGGCTCCCGGTAACAAATCAATGGCGCATTCCGGGGGGGATGTTCTATGTTAAAGGAATTGACAGATGACGTCAGTACTTCGACGATAAACAAGTAACTGGTGCCGGCGCCGATTGTTATGCCATAATGTTTAGACCGGCTGAGACCTTGTGACGCACCTCTGCACATTCGCCCACCGATTCTGTTCCCTCGGATTTATATCGGCACCAAAGGCTTGCGCACAGCATCACATTGGACCCTGCACAAACCATCTGTTACCCACTATGTGCAGGCGTCCAGTTGTTTGACCACTGTTGACCAGCACATTCGATCTGGATACCATCCATCCTTAAATATGACTTATAAGTGCACCGACAGGTTTATGCGGCTCCGGTTCGTTTTTATGTCGGTTCAAATCGGTGAAGCTCAATGGCTCAGAAAAGTGTTGAGAATGGAGAGAAAAAAGCAGAGTCAGAAAGTTGTATAACCGATTTTCATGACTTGATTATGACATGTTCAGAGTACAAAGAGATGAAAAAGATTTTAATGAACTAAATGATGCCATTCGACACATAGAGTCTGTGTCCAAAAATCGGTTTGAAAGTAGAAGCTCTCCTGTGATCCGTGATCAGTAGAACCCGACCTAAAGCTGCCACCTTGACGTGGTGGTCGGGCTTCAGTGCTGCAACGATCCTGCGGGCTACACTGGCTGGAACTTCGTTCCACAAGGTGCAACCATGCCAGGAAGGCCAAAGGGGAGCAGCCAGACCAAGAGCAGCGAGACCCCGTACTACGAGTAATCGTGGTACGAGGCGGTCTGGGGGTAAAGTCGTACTGTCCTCTGCGACAGGAGTGTAAAGG